AAAGGTGCTGTTGCTCTCAGTCTGTGTAATTTCTTAGAGAATCTTTCTCCCTTTTCAGTCTTCCAGCTGAAAGGGCATTTGCTCTGAGTATAATCATTTATTTGTATGAGTTCAAAGTTGGTAATACCATTTGGTAAACTTGTTGTTTTCAGGACAATTGCCCTTCTAGACTCTGACTTGATACTTGAAATGCATTGCAGGGAAAAGGGACAATCCCTTCATAGAGCAGGTGTATTCCTCTAGGTGGGCTGATTTCTCAATGAGTTTGAATGTCCTTAATGTCCTTTATGATGGGACTGAAATGCCTATGTATTTAAGATCTTGATATTGTAGTGCCAGTTTTCAGTCTGAAACAGCCCATGAAGACTTGATTAGACAACCATTGACATTCTGCACTTGCTGTCTTTTAAAATTTTAATAAAAATACCATTAGATTTTTATAAAAGATCATTGTTAAATTCAAAAGGTAAAGTTATCAAAGTAAAATATTTGCATGATAATTCTTCACTTTATTGTAGAAATCCATATAATTTTACAAAGATATATTATTCATGCTATTTGTATCTTAGAGACCTTTTTAAAATTTTTTGAGCTTAATTTCTCTATACCTTATGTAATTGTTCCTCTAATGTAATTAATACTAATAGTTTGATGTTCATCATTTGACAACTTTCTCCATGCTCATACAGATATATGTTTGCATATATACATATATGATAGATTTTTAGTGATAACTTGCACAGAAAATGTACATAGTATACACTTCTGCATCTTTTTTTCTTTTTCTTTATTATTATTATTATTATTATTATACTTTAAGTTCTAGGGTACATGTGCATAATGTGCAGGTTTGTTACATATGTATACTTGTGCCATGTTGGTGTGCTGCACCCGTCAACTCGTCAGCACCCATCAACTTGTCATTTACATCAGGTATAACTCCCAATGCAATCCCTCCCCCGCCCCCCATAATAGGCCCCAGTATGTGATGTTCCCCTTCCCGAGTCCAAGTGATCTCATTGTTCACTTCCCACATGAGTGAGAACATGCGGTGTTTGGTTTTCTGTTCTTGTGATAGTTTGCTGAGAATGATGGTTTCCAGCTGCATCCATGTCCCTACAAAGGACACAAACCCATCCTTTTTTATGGCTGCATAGTATCCCATGGTGGATATGTGCCACGTTTTCTTAATCCAGTCTGTCACTGATGGACATTTGGGTTGATTCCAAGTCTTCGCTATTGTAAATAGTGCCACTCTAGTTCAACCATTATGGAAAACAGTATGGCGATTCCTCAAGGATCTGGAACTAGAAGTACCATATGACCCAGCCATCCCATTACTGGGTATATACCCAAAGGATTATAAATCATGCTGCTATAAAGACACATGCACACGTATGTTCATTGCGGCACTATTCACGATAGCACTCCTGCATCTTATTTAACAGTACATCATTGAGTTTCTTCCTCTATTTTCTGTTGGTTTATTTTGTTCTCTATTTCATGTCTTCAGGCAATTCTTTATTTATGTTTTTTGTTTAATAATTAAAGAATTGCAGATTAAAAGTGTTCAAAGTTTACCTGTGAATCATAGATTTGTTAAGAAGTACTTTTCTGTTCATTATATTCTAGATAGAGTATAATTTTGATTCCCTCTTTGACCCATGAATTATTTAGAAGTTTCTTCATTTTCCAAGTTGTCAATTTCTTGTCTTTTCAGTATTTGTTTCTAATTTTTTTTGTTTATGATCAGAAAATATGATGAGTAAAAGTCTTTTAAAAATCTGATAACATTTTCTTTGTGGTCAAGTAAAAGACCCTTATTAAAGGTCAAATGTATTTAAAAAGCTGTGTCTGTGTGTGAGTGCATCTATTTATATATGTGTATATACACACACAGACGTGCACAATGTCTGTATTTTGTCATTCAGTGTTATTAGTCTGAGTGTACATTGGACTTTTTAAAGCTTTCCAGGTGATTCTAACATACAACCAAGGTTAAGTACCATTGCCAAAATGAAATAATGGATCTAGTCAAGTGGTTTTCAAAATATGAACCATCAATATCACCTGGGAATTTGTTGGAAATGCAGATTATTGGACCTCACCCTAAGACGTGGCCACTCAGAAACTCTGGGGATGGGGCCAGCAACCTCTTTTTAAAAAATTATTTTAATTGACATATAATTGTACATATTTATGGGGTACAATATGACATTTCAATACATACATACAGTATAGAATGATCAAATCAGCCATTGGCATATATATCAACTCAAACATTTATAATTTCTTTTTGTTGGGAACATTCAAAATCTTCTCTTCTAGCTATTTGAAAATATGTTATAAATTGTTAACCACAGTCATGCTATAGTGCTATCAAATACTAGAACTTATATCTCCAATCTACTTGTAATTTTTAAATGACATTCTGTCATTCATAGCAACATGGTTGCGCCTAGAGGACGTATGTTAAGTGAGATAAGCAATCTGGGTCTTAAGAAGCCCTCAAAGGGAGAGGATTCTACCTCACTGAAGACTGAGAGCCACTTACCTAAGTCAGTGGCTCTACACTGAGGGTGGTTTTGGCCCCAAAGGGACATCTGGCAATGTTGGAGACCTCTTTTGGTTGTCACAGCTGGTGGGAGGCTACTGGTGGCATTTAGTTGGTAGAGGGCAGGGCTGTAAAGATCCTGCAATGCACAGGACAGCCCAACAGGGAATCACGCAGCCCCAAGCATCAATAGTGCTGCTGTGGAGTAACTTACTTAGACCGTGCTTTCCGAGGTTTGGCTTCCCATTACAACCAGTGAGAGAGTTTTTAAAGTCCTGACTCCAGATCTGATTAATGTCATTGGGGAGGGTGCACATAAGGATTTCTAAAAACTATCCATGTGAGTACTTTATGCAGCAAAAGTTGAAAATCACTGTTATGGACACTGGTTATTGATGGCAAAAACTGCAATAACTTTTGCACCAACCTACTACCTAAAACTCTTAGATCCTAATGGATGGATTAGGGTGATCCTGAACCAACTGATCCGATGTTATCTAAAGAAATAGACAATTATGTACCCCTGTTTTGTTATAATGGGAAGTACAAACACCAATTTGTGAAATGTTCTTGCCAAAATTCAAACTTGGACAAGCTTCTAGATTTCTAGATCTCACTACCAATTTAGAGGGATGTGTTTAAAAAAAAAAAAAAAAACACCATAGGAAGGCTGTTGGTCAAATCTAGAATGTAGAAAGTCCTCCAGGACATATGGTGCAGACTGATTATCATCTAATAAATGGCAAGAAGGGAAGACAAGAGAGGAATGGGGACTATTCTAGAATAAAAGAAACTGAAGACCCCTAACTGATAAGTGTGTCTTTTTTGTAACTTGATTTAAAAAATCAACAAGGGAAAATTAAAAACATCTGTGAGGCAATTTGGGCCGTTCAAACACAGACTAGATATTTCCTCATATCAAATAATTATTTTTAGAGATGCATGTGGCGGGGTAAGTAGAGGTTATAGGTAAAACGCGGTTGTCCCTATGTTGATGTCCCATCGTTGTTGATGTCATGTGCTAGGTGTATGGGGATTTATTTTAATATTATCTTTATCTTTGTGTATGTTTGAAATGTTCCACAATACAGACAGAATGAGAAGGAATATCTAAACAGGTAGGAGGAAAGGCAGGTGAGAATGTGTTAGAAAAACTTTCAAGACAATAGGAGTTTCCATAGTGTTAAAAAGAAAGTAATGGATTTGGTAACATGAAGGTCATTGATGAGTTTAGCAAAATCTGTTTCAGTGGAGAAATGGGTCTGGAAGCAAGATTGGAGCCCACTGGAAACTGACAGGAGTAGACATGGTATTACTGCCATGTGTGAGGCAGGATAGACTTTCTTTTTTTTTTTTTTTTTTTTTTGAGACGGAGTCTCACTCTGTCGCCCAGGCTGGAGTGCAGTGGCCGGATCTCAGCTCACTGCAAGCTCCGCCTCCTTAGTTCACGCCATTCTCCTGCCTCAGCCTCCCCAGTAGCTGGGACTACAGGCGCCCGCCACCTCGCCCGGCTAATTTTTTGTATTTTTTAGTAGAAACGGGGTTTCACCGTGTTAGCCAGCATGGTCTCGATCTCCTGACCTCGTGATCCGCCCGTCTCGGCCTCCCAAAGTGCTGGGACCACAGGCTTGAGCCACCGCGCCCGGCCAGGATAGACTTTCATGTGTTTACATAAGACAGACCCTATAGAGAGGAAGATAGTTAACACTCAGGGAAGAAAGAGGGAATGTGCATCAGCTTTGGTTTCCAAAACAATCTCAAGGCGTTGGTGCAGTCATTAATTTGGATAATTATAGCAATTACTTAGCATTATGTATGACATATTAACACATTATTATTATGAGGGTTTTAGAATTTGGGTGCATGTGATAATGCATCCAAAGAAGTTCCATTTTTGAGACTTTTTGGATATTGATATTTTGATATAAATTGCAGATTGCAATATTGTTAAAATATTAAGAATTAGTGTTCTTACATTTCTTTATAATGCTTTAAATAATCTAAAACAGAATTTGGAAGTGCAAATATTTATATACCTATGTCCAAATAATGATACATTAAACTATACCTAAACTTTTCACAGAGTACTTTCATGGACCTAAGTTGGATAAGTAAGGTGAAATCTATTCACTGGGAGGGAGGGATGGGGAGAAACAGAGAGAGAGAGAGAGAGAGAAAGAGAATGAATGAGATTAGAGGGAGAAAATGGCAAGAGAGAATATGTTTAAATAATTGTTTATTCAGGGAAAACTTAGGTTGATCACTGTTACTGTTATTTTGGTTATTTTTATTTCCAGCTATACTGTCTCCTGCCAAAAAAGTGTAACTTTAACTGTTTATTCACAGGCCATTTGCTTTTCTCTTCTAATTAGCTTCAAAAAATTAGAATCCAAAGAATGAAACGTGTTTAACTCACATTTGGGCTTTTGTTTGTTTGTTGAAACAGAACTGTTCATTACGAAGGTGGCGCTGTGTCTGTTCATGCACGTTCCCTTTGGAGACTAGAGACACTAAGAGTTGCGTAAGTAGAACTTCCAAACACAGCCTAATGCACCAAGTGCACCAAATAGCTCAGTGTTGTGCTTCTATGTCAGCCGGTCATGCTGAAAACTACAGCAAGCAAGCGAACAAAGGAAACACCGAGAAAGTGGTGGAGATTTTCTCTTTTGTCTATTTCCGTTCACCTACCTTTATCTTTTCTTTAGCCTCAGTTCACCAGCTGTCAAACCTGAGAAATAAGCAGTAATTTTGTACAGTCTGCTTTCGTCTTTAGCCTCATTTGGTTTTTTAACATCATCTCATCCCAGACCATGCATCTCTTGGCAGAAATGGCTACTAGGACAGAGTGATGTAAGATTTGGAGACAAGACAAGTTCTTTGCAAGCCTGTCGCACATCTCAGATCTGACAGACTGTGGATTTAACCTTCTAAAAGTACATTTAAAACAGGAAACTTGAACATGATCAGTAGGACAGAGTCATTACTGGAAGTCACTATATTTAGTTAAAAATCACTTGATAGCTAAGTACAAATCTGCATTGCAATAAAAGTCACTGTGTATTCATTATAGTAATGAGAGTTTTTATATATTAATATTTATGAAACATATAAATGTGTAGAGTATATTTTTGTGATGACTTGTCTGAATATTTCCTTTTAGTTTCTGTAAATGAGTACAGTATGATGATGAAGGTGTCATTTTGAACTATTTTAAGTAAAATTAAAATGTCATTTTTTTTTTAATAATTGGAAGCTTTAGTCCTTTGCCTAAAAGCAGTAAATTTTCAATGTATTTGTTTCCTAGTATATTGGGTTTTAAAGACTTTATTGATTTAGGATGATAATTGATTTGTATTGGGTTTTAAATACATTATTGATTTAGGATAAGAGACTCTATGGCTGGGAATGAGGGCTATCTTACTCTAGTATAACTGTCTTTTTTTTTTTTTTTTTTTTTTTGAGATGGAGTCTTGCTCTGTCGCCCAGGCTGGAATGCAGTGGTGTAATCTTGGCTCACTGCAAGCTCCGCCTCCCAAGTTCACACCATTCCCCTGCCTCAGCCTCCCGAGTAGCTGGGATTACAGGTGCCCGCCACCATGCCCGGCTAATTTTTGTATTTTTAGTAGAGACGGGGTTTCACCATGTTAGCCAGGATGGTCTCAATCTCCTGACCTCATGATCCGCCCGCCTCAGCCTCCCAAAGTGCTGGGATTACAGGTGTGAGCCACCACTCCTGGCCTGTTCTAACTATCTTTATAGACATTTTATTTTGAGATTATTGCCTGTCTAATGGTGATGAGAATAGTTTAGTGGCCTTCAGTTGTTTTTTGCTTATGTGACCCATACAATAATTTTGAAAAACTTTGTACATTCTTGAACATTGTGAGGTTGACGTAGAAATCCTTTATCAGTTTAGATCCTTAGAATATAACTTCCAGTGGGCTGGGCGCGGTGACTTCACACCTGTAATCCCAGCACTTTGGGAGGCCAAGGCCGGTGGATCACTAGGTCAGGAGATCGAGACCATCCTGGCTAACACGGTGAAACCCCGTCTCTACTAAAACTACAAAATATTAGCCGGCCATGGTGGCGGGCGCCTGTAGTCCCAGCTACTCGGGAGGCTGAGGCAGGAGAATGGCATGAACCTGAGAGGCAGAGCTTGCAGTGAGCCGAGATTGCACCACTGCACTCCAGCCTGGGTGACTAAGCAAGACTCCATCTCAAAAAAAAAAAAAAAAAGAATATAACTTCCAGTGTATTTTAAATAGTGATACTTTAAAATAAAATGGTTACATTACCCTTTTCAAAGTATCCAATTGACTGTAAGTAATGCCGTGGTGTAATACCTTTGTTTATTGAAAATGTTCCTCTTTAACAATAAAAATATATATTATTCAGTTTTTCCTTTTTACTACATCCTACTCCTGTGCAACAAAAATATTCATATAAATTAATTTCTTATATTTCTTATGTTAGTAAGTCTATAACTTTAAAAAGTTATTCTATATTGTCATTAATAACTAATTGATAATATTAAATTTCTTTGATATAGAGACACAATTGATCAAATCTACCTAAATATTAAAACTTTTGGTAAATACTCAACTTAAAAGACAATTTTTATTAGAAATGCACATCATAATGAGATGGAAAAGAAGAGACAGACTTCTAAGGCAAACAAAGGATTTTATATGTTTTGTAATTATTCAGATAATTTAAGGAAAGAGATTTTAAGTATTACTCATATTTTTTACTCTGGATATTATAAAAGTGAAAGATCAAAGAAGCGTTTATACTAATTAATTGTATAAATAATTACTAATTATATATGTAATTAAATTGTCACTCTAAGTGCAGTTTAGAGAGGTTGTGTTGCCCTTATAAAACAGA